TTGCACTATTTGATTGTGCAGTCTTTCACAGAGTGGTGAACCCCTCCTCATCTTTACTTCTGAAAGACTCAGCCTCTCTGAGATGCTCATTTTATACCAAATCATGTTACTGACCTGTTGCTAATCAACCACCTGGTGTTTGTTGCCCCCATCCCAACTTTTTTGTAATGTGTTGCTGGCATCAAATTCAAAATGGGCATATATTTTTTCAAAAAACAATACAATTTCTCAGTTTCAACATTTGATATGTTGTCTTTGACGCATTTTAAATTAAATGTAGGGATTAAATGATTTGCACATCATTGCATTTTGTTTTTATTTACAATTTTCACAGCGTTCCCACTTTTTTTGGAAATTGGGTTGTAAATAAGACATCTGGTCAGCTGAAAGCCATTTCCAATTGAGGGGACAAAAAAGGATGAATAATCTGTTATATTTGTTCATTATGAGGGACTGACGTAGGTCTGAATAAAAATAATAAAAAAGGATGGTTAGTTTGTGCTTGATCTGTAAGACATGCTCCATCATGGGATCTACTTGCTGTAGGCTACTTTTCAATCTACTTGAAAACTTCTCATTATTGCAGAGTTTCAATGCTAAAAGGTGACTTTGTATACCCCTATTAAAGCAGTAGCGACCATATCAGTCGAAAAGAAATTTCTGACTTGGAAACTATTTCAAGTTTAGCTTCCAAGTCAGAAATTTTCTGTCAATGCAATTTCTGTAGCCAAGGGGCATAAGCATTAGAGTGATCCGTGATAAATCCTTTCACAACTACCCATACAACTCTCAGATCCTCATCCAAGCCCTGATTAAAAATAAGGAATTAGGTTAACTTACTTCTAAATTGAGCACAAGTCCTTTATCCTGTAGTAAGTTTGTGTTAAAATGCTATCATGACACATGTGCATATTCTATAGTAAATCAAAGTTTTTAGTGGTCTGAGTGTGACATTGGCCAAATATTAATTGTGTCTATTACTGAAAAGAGTGCTGGGCATAAATAAAAAAAATCTACACTGGAGTAAGGTTTAAGTCTTGTTGAGAAAAAAGTGTACTGTCTAGAAGTCAGATTAAAGTATTGCCAGCAGTCTATCAAAGATAATGTCGTCATACACTGCTTGAGTTCTAGACAAGAGGCTAACTGGCAGGGAAAAACATTGCCACGAGATCGATCTTGTTTATGACTCATGACTGTATTCATATACTGCTACCACTACAAACTCAACATCTGATAAATTAACCAGATATTTTCATAAAGAAGAGAAAAAAATTGGGTCTCTTGTAGTAGGAGCGAAGACTGAATTAAAAGCTATTTTTTTATTTCTTAATTGTTGTAATGTGTGTTATCCTTCCTTACTAATTACCTCCTTGGTCTAAAATCTCACTCTGTAAAATTCTCCTTAACAATTCAGGTTCTCCTTTTGTTGCATTAATTGCAGTCACATAGGCAGCAATTCTATAAAACTTATTGTTATATTTGTGAATAAACTTTCTTTAAATGGGATTCCTGAATCAGAGCAATTTCAGTTTCTTTTGTGTGAAGTAAATCTAAAAACTAGCACACTTAAGAGGCTCATTCAAACCACTAATGTTCCATCTCAAAACAATAAAAGCCATGTAAATAAAGTAAATTCAAACATAAGTATTACCATTATTTCAAAATCTAAAACAGCCAAACAAAGCTCAAAATCATAAACTCACAAGTGTACTGCCCACCTACACACCCTGTATTTCCCACCCCAGAGACCATTAAACTAACACACTATATACCCCGCCTCTGAACAGGAACTATCACAAACTGGGCAACGAGCAGGCCCACAACCCTCCCCTTTTGAGGTCCATGGCAAAGACATTGACCTATTCAGCAGCCAGACCTCAGATATAATAACAACCCATTTCAACACTCTGCTTCCAAGGATCCTGCTTATAAATGTTCAATCGCTGGAGAACAAAATAGACGAAGTGAACACACGGATAAAGTTTCAGCATGACATCGAGAGCTGCTGCGTTTTAGCGCTCACAGAGAAGTGGCTATCTGCGGCAATACCAAAGAAAGGCATCACACCGGCCGGCTTCTCCATCTACCGCCAGGACAGAACTCTGGACTCTAGTAAGGGCAGAGGTGGTGGGGTATGTGTTATGGTGAACTCTCAATGTGGAACAGATGTAGTGGTTCTAGCTAGTCACTGCTCTCCAGGCATTGAACAGTCAGTTAGACCCTTTTTTTTTGCCCATCCCACCTCAGGCAGATAAGTCACGTGCATTGGAAGTTTTGTACAAGACCATCAATGGACATGAGAACATTTATCCTGAGGCTGTTTTTATTGTGGTTGGGGATTTTAACAGGGCAAACTTGAAGGTTCTGCCCAAATATTACCAGCACATTAAAGTTCCCACCCGAGGAGAACAGACTCTTGACCACTGCTACACTGCACTCAAGGACAGCTACAAACCCCTCCCCCGCCCTGCCTTCGGCAAAGCTGATCACACCTCCATTCTTCTGCTGCCCGCATACAAACAAAAACTGAAACAGGCAAAACCAGTTCTCAAATCAGTCTATCAATGGAGTGAGGAGGCCATCTTCAGACTTTAGGACTGCTTTGAATCCACAGACTGGAAGATGTTCCGTGATGCAGCTGGTACAGACATCAACAAATGCACCTACTCCATTGCAAGCTACATCAATAAATGCACTGAAGACATTGTACCAAAAATCAATGTCAGAACTTTTCCCAACCAGAAACCCTGGATCAGTGCTGAAGTTCGAGCCAAAATAAGAGCTCGGGCTGCTGCCTACAACTCCGGCGACCTGGCTAGCTACAAGAAAACCAGGTATGACCGTCAGAGGACCATCAGGCTGGCCAAAAGGAGCTACAGGGACAGAGTGGAATCTAACTATCTTGGCTCTGATCTCACACGTATGTGGAGTGGCCTGCGCACTATCATGGACTACGAAGGAGGTACAATCTGTGATAGGGGCTCTTCCTCCTCACTAGCAGATGAGCTAAATGCACATTATACTTGTTTTGAGGCAACTAACACCTCACCTGCTGAAAAACTCCAGATGAGGAGAGCTGCACTCTAACCATTCCCCTGTCTAAGGTGGTGTGATCGTTCAGGGCAGTTAACCCACGCAAGGCACCTGGTCCCAATGGCGTCCACAGTCGTGTACTTAAAGCATGTGCCAACCAGCTGGCTGACATTTTCACTGACATCTTTAACCTCTCCTTAAGACTGTCAGTGATTCCTACGTGCTTTAAGGAACCACAATTGTTCCAGTCCCCAAGAAATCGTCTGTCACCTGCCTGAATGACTATCGCCCTGTTGCACTGACATCAACAGTCATGAAGTGCTTTGAACGGCTGCTCAACACTTCCAGCCACCATGGACCCTTACCAATTTGCATACTGCTCCAACAGATCTACAAACGATGCCATTGCATTAACAATACACACTGCTCTCACACACCTTGACAGAAAGAACACATATGTAAGAATGCTATTCATAGATTACAGCTCAGCATTCAACACAATCATCCCTTCCAAACTCATTCCTAAGCTCACAGACTTGGGTTTGAACTCTCATCTCTGTAACTGGATACTGGATTCCTGACGAGCAGACCCCAGATGGTGAAAGCTGGGGACAACTTCTCTTCCACACTGACCCTGAGCACAGGGGCTCCCCAGAGATGTGTACTCAGCCCCCTCTTGTACTCCCTGTATACACATGACTGTGTAGCCAAACACACATCTAACATCATCTTCAAGTTTGCTGATGACACCACCATCCTAGGCCTCATCACTGATGGAGATGAAACAGCCTACAGGGATGAGGTCAGCGCTCTGTCAGAGTGAAGCCACGACAGCAATCTGTGTCTCAACATCAGCAAAACAAAGGAGATGATCGTGTACTACAGGAAGTGGCAGAGGGGTGGTCACTCTCCCCTATTCATCAGTGGAGCCGAAGTGGAGAGAGTCAGCAGTGTGAAGTTTCTTGGCGTACACCTCACTGATGACCCCACCTGGTCCCTCCACACCAACACTATTGTGAGATCTGCTCGTCAGCATCTCTTCTTCCTGTGTAGGCTCAGGAAGTTTGGTCTGCCTCCTCAGATCCTCACCAACTTCTACAGAAGCACCATAGAGAGCATCCTCACGGGCTGCATCACTGTCTGGTACAGCAGCTGCACTGCCTGCGACCACGAGGCCCTTAAAGGAGTGGTGAGGATGGCAGAATCCATCATAGGCAACAAACTACCAGCCTTACAGGACATCTATTGGCCCCCCTGCTTCAGGAAAATCAAAAAGATCTGGTCAGACAGCATCACCCAGCACACAGTTCACCATTCTGTTATCAGGCAGGAGATTCCACAGCATACAGGCTAGAACAACCCGGTTAATGAACAGTTTCTACCTACAGCCTGAACAAGTTGAGAAGCTGTGGGTCCTTCCCCAAATAACATTTCACTCAGTCACTTTATCAGTATTATTATTAAATTATATTACTGCTATGGACAATAACAAGTCACTAAGTCACTTTATATATATATATATATATATATATATATATATATATATATATATATATATATATATATATTATGTTCTTCACAGATTATCCATGGTTAATATAAATATATTTGTACATGGCAAAGAGCTTTTTTTCTTACATAGGTCCCTTCTGTTTCTATATTTTGTGTATATTTTGTGTATATTTAATATATTTCAGTTGTAGAATTTTCCTTTGTATTTTTGCTTTGTTTACTGTCTGTAGAGTGATGAGCTGACCCTCACCACAAGCATTTCAATGCATGAATGTCCTGACATGTTGTGCAAATGACAAATAAACTTGAACTTGATTATTTCATACAGAGCACAGCCATCTGGGCTTCAGACTGCTCTACTATAGAGAGTTTGGAGGGTTATTTCAATTTAGTAGGTTTGAATGACTTGTCAGCTTAACATTTTCCATGAAGGAATGAAGTCAAAGAAAGTTTACCTGAGAATTGCCAGTTTACAGTGTGAACTCTTCAGTCCAGCTGACAGCATTTCCACTCCTGAATCCTGCAGGTAGTTGTTACTGAGGTCAAGATCTTTCAGGGAGGAGTTTACTGATTGTAGAGCTGTCCCCAGATTCTCACAAGCATTTTCTCTAAGATTACAGATAGCTAGTCTGCAAAGGAACAGAAATAACAACAGATTGTATAATACACTGAAAGGATTTCGGTAGTATAGCAGTATATAAGAGAATAAATATAATATTGCTTACACATTACAAAAAATAATTTATGTATTTTTGTATTATTGGTATGGTTAAAATGAGAGACAGTAGAATTCTAAATCCACAAAAATAGTGTGGAAATGTAGTGTTAGTATATGAAGTTATCAAAAACGTTTTTATACTCAGGAATGTATTCACAGAAAGTTCACCTGAGTGTTTCCAGTTTACATTGCAAACTCTTTAATCCAGCAGAGAGCAGCTCCACTCCAGAATCCTGCAGATCATTGTTACTGAGGTCCAGCTCTTTCAGCAAGGGGTTTACTGTTTGCAAAGCTATTGATACTTTTTCACAGGAGTTTGTGGTCAAGTTACAGCCAGCTAGTCTGTCAAGGCAGAGTGAATAAAACATATATTACAGCATAATCATGGAAAAACATCTAGAAATACCATACTGTGTAAGAGAACACCATTCATTTCTTTCATTTCCTGTGAAGCCTATTTAACATGAATTTAACAGAAACTTATACAAAACTTTATTCCACATCACAGATGTCCAGTTTTGGAGTTCTAGTACATGCCTTTTTTCTCAGTAAGGGCTTCTTGACAGATATACATCCTTTCAGACCCATAGTATTGAGTTGTTGATTTTATCCCCTGTTTCAAAGATTAAAGCTACTGTTATCTGATGGAGACAGTTGCGGTGGTCTAACAGGTCTTGCACAGTTGTTAGAAGTCCCATTTTCAGGCAACACGCTAAATAAATAAATTGTGACAATTTCTCAAGAAAACAAAGAAATGAAAGAATCTCCCTTGGATCTTTAAACTCACATGACAGTCAAATCTTTTCACCAAACAAACACGAGATGATCTAGAAAAGCCATCAAAAAGTTTATGTACTCAAGGTATAACTCAAAACTGTAAATTCAATAACTTTTCATTACATTCATCATGAGACCCAAAAATAACACCACAGGACAATCCAGACCTATCATTGCCGAATTTGAGCATTGTAAGAACAAGGAGCTAATTAAAAGCAAAGGGAGAGAGCTAAGAAGAACCCCTACAGAATCAATGACTAATGACTAATTCTGCCATGAAACACATAAAAAAGAAAAACTAATATCAGTCATAAAAGGATACCACAAAAACTACAAAGCTCATATTCAAGTAACCACAAAGGAGAAACACTTAAGGAAAATGACACTGAAGCTCAAGAAGACATCAAAATTAATCAAAAAACACAATTTTTACTCATGATTTAAATGAAAACACTCTGAACACAATGAAAATTCAGGAAAATATTGAGAAAACCTCGCAAATAAAACAAAAAAAAATATATAGTACTTGGCACATCAGGGAATAACATTCAAACAATACATAATGAAGAATTGTATAATGCAGTGAAATACCAAAGAGTAAAGACTGCTGGAAGTTTTAAGGTGAAATGTTTTCCCATTTTTGCTTAACATACGATTTCAGGTGCTCAACAGTTCTGGGTCTCCTTTGTCATATTTTTCATTTTGTGATGTGCCAAATGTTTTCATGTTTGTTTCAATGTTTGTTTGTTGACAGGTCTGGACTGCAGGCAGGCCAGTTTAGCACCTGGACTCTTTTAATACGGAGCAATGCTGTTGTAATACATGCAGAATGTGGTTTGACATTGTCTTGGTGAAATAAGCAAGGCCTTCCCTGAAAAAGACGTTGTCTGGATGGCAGCATATGTTGCCAAAACATGTGTATATTGTATAGCATTAATGGTACCTTCGCAGATGTGCATGTTACCCATTTTCAGAAGTGTTTCTGAGCCCATGCAGTGATTTCCGCTACAGAATCATGTCTGTTTTTTTTTAATGCAGTGCCACCTGAGGGTCCAAAGATCATGGCCAAGCCAGTTTTTGGCCTTGTCCCTTATATACAGAGATCTCTCCAGATTCTCTGAATCTTTTAATGTTATTATGTACCATAGATGACGAAAAGCAAAAGTTCTTTGCTATTTTATGTTGAGAAACATTATTCTTGAATTGTTGCACTATTTGATCATGCAGTCTTTCACAGAGTGGTGAACCCCTCCTTATCTTTACTTCTGAAAGACGCAGCCTCTCTGAGATGCTCATTTTATACCCAATCATGTTATTGACCTTTTGCCAATTAACCACCAGTTCTTTTTTTTAAGCATTACACAACTTTACTAGCCTTTTGTTCCCACTGTCACAACTTTTTTGGAACATGTTGTTGGCATCAAATTCAAAATGGGCAAATATTTTTCAAAATACAAAACATTTAAAATGAAATATAGGGTTTAAATTATTTGTACATCCTTGCATTTTATTTTTTATTTACATTTTTCACAGCATCCCCACTTATTTGGAAATCAGGTTATAGAAAAGACACTCTAACTTTAGATCCAGAAGAAGCCTTTAACAACAGATGGAATTTTTTAGTGAGTAACATAAATTTATTTTTGTAAAATAAGTTATAACTAGATTAAAATACTATATTCCACACCCATGGCATCCATCATTACTAATGATATAATTTTACCAAACCTTTTCCGATTTAGTGGAAGTAGATAAGGATATTCTGTCTCATATTTATCATATGCACTGTTCATAGAACCACTAGCAAACATGTTTGTGGAAACTTTAGTTGACTCTGAATAATATATCTGTCTTTTACAGGTTTGGGCAAACTGAAATAAACATTTTTTCCATTATAATTGTGTTTTTTGTGGTTTGGTCTGGCAGTTGGGATGGCATTGGTCTTTTGTTTGGTCTTTTTTTTTCTATGTTTTTTTTTAATAATGCTAACATAAACTGTACACCAACAGATGAGCTACAGTCTCTAACTGTACACCAGTAAGATGGAGCTACAAGAAAGGGGTTTTTGATAAAGTGGACAAAGAATTGTATTTGCTGTCTTTACTTAATAACAAATATGTTTGTAATCTTTTAAATGACAGGAAATCAGTCTTATTCAAACATTAATTCACATTTTAAAATGTATTAAACATATTAAAGTATATTAATGTAGCACATACATTGCTTTTCTGCAGACACTCACAGCTGGGATCAGTCTCCTATAACCCTCCTCTGGTGTGTTATATTGCTTCAGGTCCAGCTCATCCAGCATCTTCTCAGAGTTCAGAAGCATATAGGCTAGCGCTGAACACTGTTCAGGAGAAAGCTTTTTTTCTGCGTCTTTATCTGATTTTAGATACTCCTGCAGCTCTCTGGAAAGAGATTGGTCATTCATTTCAGACAGACAAAGGAAAAGATTAATGGATCTCTCAGTTGAAATGTGATATTCATCATCATTTTCATCCCCTTTCATTAAGTCCTTGATGTATTCTATGGTTTTCTCTGCGCTGCTCTGTGTTGGTGTCAGAAGACCCTGAAGGAGTCTCTGATTGGACTTCAGTGAGATGCCCAGCAGGAAACGGAGGAAAAGATCAAGATGTCCACTCTGACTGTCTAAAGCATTATCCACTGCTCCCTCCAGCACCTCTTCCAGTGAAACATCTTCAGACTTCCATCCATACTGTGGTTTAAAACAATCCAATACCTCCATGTTCTTGTTCCCATAGCAGTAAAACACATAAACAGCAGCCAGGAACTCCTGAAAGCTCAGATGAACAAAGCAGTAGACCTTCCTCTGGTGAAGCACACATTCCTCCCTAAAGATCTCAGTGAAAATCCCAGAATACACTGAGGCCTCAGTGACATCAATGCTGCTCTCTCTCAGGTCCTCTTCATAGAACATCACATTTCCCTTCATCAGCTGTTTGAAAGCCAGTTTAGCCAGTTTCAGAAGAACGGTTCTGTTGGACTTCAGCAGGTTCTTTGGGTCTCTCTCATCTTTCTCCGCATACTTCTCGTTTTTTATGTTTGTCTGAGTGATCAGGAAGTGTGAGTACATTTCAGTCAGAGTTTTAGGGATTTCTGTATGACGCTGTTTCATGATCTGCTGAAGAACAGTGGCTGAGATCCAGCAGAAGACTGGAATGTGGCACATGATGTGGAGGCTCCTCGCTGTCTTAATGTGGGAGATGATTCTCTGGGCTTGGTCTTCATCACTGATCCTCTTCCTGAAGTACTCCTCCTTCTGTGGGTCACTGAACCCCTGAATCTCTGTCACACGGTTAATGTATTTAGGAGGGATCTGATTGGCTGCTGCTGGTCGGCAGGTTATCCAGATCAGAGCAGAGGGAAGCAGCTCTCCTTTGATGAGGTTTGTCATCAACTCACCCACTGATGATGTCATGGTGATGTCAGATACTTTCTCACACTGTTGAAAGTTCAGTGGAATTCTGCTTTCATCCAGACCATCAAATATAAACACAGCTTTGATCTGATTATAAATCTCTGGGTCCAGATCTTTGAGCTCAGGATGGAAGTCACACAGAAGTCCATGAAGACTGTATTGATCATCTTTAATCAGGTTCAGCTCCCGGAACGGAAGCACAAACATGAGCTCTACATCCTGATTGGCTTTTCCTTCAGCCCAGTCCAGAATGAACTTCTGCACAGAGACAGTTTTTCCAATCCCAGCGATGCCTTTAGTCAGAACAGCTCTGAACTCTGGCTCTTTTGGCCTTTTAAGTTTTTTTCTTTCTCTCCATTTGAGACCTTCAGCCATCACAGCTCTAATATTCTCCTCTTCTGTTTCTCCTTCAGAACCTTTTAGAGGTTTAAAGATATCTACACAGTTGATTGGAGTGTCCCGTAGCTGTTTCCTGGGTGTGTTCTCTATCTGTAGAACCTCATGTTCTTCATTCACTCCTTCACTCTCTCCCTCTATGATGTAGAGCTGTGTATAAACCCTGTTCAGGAGAGTTCTATTCTCGGGAGTTTTGATTCCCTCAAATAAGCTCTCGTACTTGTTCTTTAAGCTGGTTATGTGTCTCTCTAAAACTCTGTGCAGGACTTCATCCACTGTTTGGTAAGAATCTATCTGCAGGTCTCCAGTTCCTTCCAAATGTATCTGCAGTTCTGTTTCTGTAGAGCACTGCCTAATGGATATCAAACAACAGCACAAATATCGTCACCATAAACAACCAGAAATACTACTGACTGATGCTTCTTACATATCTTGTGCCCAATATAATGTAAATTAAATTAAATTCTCTTATAAATGATTTAAATTACCTTTTCATTGATTTATAAAGGGCTTTTGATACAGTTATTCGCTCTCTGCTTCTAAAAAGATCCTGCAATGTTGGCTTTAACCATAATGCTACTAATATATTTCAGAACTACCTTTTTGACAGGTGGCAGTGTGTGGTCTTGGGGAGCTGTAAATCTGAATTTCTACCAGTAATTAAAGACGCGTCATGAGGGTTAATTTTAGGTCTTTATTTTTTTTTAATAATATCAATAATATTGTCTCAACTGCAACAGATGGTAGTACATCTATAAGCTGATGATACTATTTTATTCAGTGCCGTAAAGGCTGTAAATGCAGCTGTTGAAAAATTTCAATGCTCTTTTGCATGCACTTCAAAACATAACTTAGTTTTAAATGCAGACAAGACACTCTTTTTCAGCTGTGAATTCTCCTATAAAATATATATATTTTTGATCAAATCCACACAGCTACGCTTTCTTTTCTAAGCGAAATCTGACAGCAAAGATATTTGTTTAAAAATCCAAATAATACTTTGCAATCCTTGGTGTTTATAAATTCACTTTAAATGTTTTATTACTTATAGGAATGTTGAGCTAATTTTGCTAAAACACAAAGATGAACAGTGGACAAGGACAACACAAGTAGACTTGGGCTTGACAGCGTGGACAAAATCATGACTTAGGACAGCATATTTTTAAAGAATGTAAACACTTTATCAAAACATTCAATTAAATTACAGTCAAATTCAAAAACAAAATGTAAAAAATGTTGTTACAGCAATTTTTAGTCTTTGTATTTGCTTTGTTAGCGATTTCTGGTAGTCTTGATAGTTTTACAGGAACTTACTGTAAATTACACAATGAACTGTTAAGAATGGACAACACAGTAAATTCACAGCAAAATACAGTAATTTAAGAACACAGTATGTTATTGTAAATATTTACTGTAAAATTACAGTATTAGTTTACAATGTGTCCTTTTTGTCAGACGATGATAAACAACAGTGGCTCTTTTTTTTATTTATAAGGCTCTCATTGGCCAGATGACATAACATATCACATCAATGCTCAGTGTGAATAACAGACACTCAAGTGAATTTATTACAGTTTGGGACCAAGCTTTTACTGAGCTAAGGAAAACTACTTTTAGGTATGATGAACCAGTGAGTGAAATATGCAACACAACACACTAAAGCTCAACTTGCTCATTTGTCTTAGAGTTTTTCATCGTTTACTTTCTAATTATGTCGGTTCATCTTGTAACTTTTAGTTTATACTTTTTTTCTGGCTTTGCTAAAGTCATTAATAAAAATTAAATGGGGAGGGAGCCAACTCATCACAACACACAGTTATATTATTTAGTGGACTTCTTACAGTAACAAAATAAATACAGAATAATACAAATAAGGTTTTAAGCTCACTGGTACAAAATTAACCTGTTGACTCCTGCCATATGGAACTGATGCAGAACCAAAATTCAAGGAGTTACCTGTCCCATGTGTCATGCCTTTCCCTTACAAAGGATGCCACCATTGTCTTGACAGTGCAATTTAGTCTTTCTGATAGATTCTTAGGGGATGTTATGCTGTTGTCACTTTATGAATAACACCCCATTGCTGACAAATCTGACAAAGAGGTGCCCCTATCTAAAACAAGATGTGTTAAGTTACCCACCAGGTAAAATCTCATCAGTGAGGAGAGGTGTAACCTTAGGTGCATGTCTTGTTTCTTAGGGGATACCTCCACTTGCTGCATTAATTAACCACCTCCAAAATGTACTGATGCTGCTTTCTGCTTTTTGAGAAAGGATCCATTATGTCTACATCTAGCATATAACCTGTTTCCCATACCGGTGCGGCTAGAAGGTAGGCAGATAATTTTGTTAACTGAGGCTTATACAGCTGACATGTGTCAAATCTCTTGGCATATTCTACCACATCTTTTCCAACATCAGACCTGTAAGCTACCTCCAAGATCTTCCAAAGTCATTCTCCCCAAATGGCGACCTAGTGGACCATCATGGAAATATATGAGGAACTATTCCCTCATGCAACCCGTTTCAAGAACAGCTTTTTTCCTACTGTGATAAGGTTACTAAACTCTTCTGAGTGGTGTACATCATTATAGTTTGTCTGTAATAATTCCTGCATTTATATGAATGCACAGATTTTATTATTGTTAATTTTACATGATTCTCCTATACCAAATGTTGTATTGTATTATATATTGCTTACTGTACATTTTCACTGTCCAGATGACCACCAAGAATACACAAGAACATCATCTGCATTCAAAAAACAGGACTTTCCTTTGATGTCATCCAGGACTATTTTCATAGGGCAGTGAAATGTTGCTCCTGAGTTTTTAAGGCCAACAGGTAATTTCAGGAAAAGAAAAGTTCCTTGGGGAGCAACAACTGCTCTTTCATGAATACTGTCAGGCTCTACCTGCCAGAACTCTATTTTAAGGTCGATGGCAATGAATAAATTTGCACAGTGCAAATTTTAGAGATTTTCTGGACCTGTAAGCATCTAGTGGGATTTTTTCATGAGACCTTAATTATATTTACATACTTTGTTGTTTTAACAGCTCTATTTTCTTCATATTATTTTTATTATGTTATTGTTTATCACTTCTTTTGTTCTACTTCTAAACTTATCATTTTGGTACTTTTGGTACTTTTTGGTACTTTTATTCTTATCTTCCTAATCTTCCTGTGGCATTCAGGGGGTCAGCAGAAAGAGGTTACCTATTGCTTTGTTAATCTTCATTGTTACACTGAAGAATGGGAACTCACCTTGGATCAGAGGGCACAGCTCCTCTGCTGAACCCAGGAGGGTCAGGCAGGGACTGGTTACTCTTCACAGACACAGAACTGGGTTCTCCTCTACCTCTGCTGAACCCAGGAGGAATATGCATGGACCTGTAACTCTTCATAGACACACAGCTGGGTTCTCCTCTCTCTCTGCTGAACCCAGGAGGGTCAGGCAGGGACCGGTCACTCTTTATAGACACAGATCTGGGTTCTCCTCTCTTTCTGCTGAACCCAGGATGGTCAAGCAGGGACCGTTCACTCTTTACAGACACAGAGCTGGGTTCTCCTCTCCCTCTGCTGAACCCAGGAGGGTCAGGCAGGGACCGGTCACTCTTTATAGACACAGATCTGGGTTCTCCTCTCTTTCTGCTGAACCTAGGATGGTCAAGCAGGGACCGGTCACTCTTTATAGACACAGAGCTGGGTTCTCCTCTCCCTCTGCTGAACCCAGGAGGGTCAGGCAGGGACCGATTACTCTTCACAGACACAGAACTGGGTTCTCCTCTACCTCTGCTGAACCCAGGAGGGACAGGCAGGGACTGATCACTCTTCATAGACACACAGCTGGGTTCTCCTCTCCCTCTGCTGAACCCAGGATGGTCAAGCAGGGACCGGTCACTCTTTATAGACACAGAGCTGGGTTCTCCTCTCCCTCTACTGAACCCAGGAGGGTCAGGCAGGGACCGATTACTCTTCACAGACACAGATCTGGGTTCTCCTCTCTTTCTGCTGAACCCAGGAGGGACAGGCAAGGACAGGCCACTCTTCGTAGACACACAGCTGGGTTCTGGAGACCCTGCTCTCTCAGTCTGCAATCTGGAAACATCACACAAACAATATCTTTCCGATTAAAGTGTTTACATTTATTATTACATTTATTATTTCTTTTTTACTGTCTAAATTTGATCACCACTTCACTCTTGTGCTTATTGGCCTAACAAAAGCCTACATTGCCTCCCTCTGCTCTGCGTTCATCTGGCTTCATTTGAGTAAGTCTCCATTTTCCTGTTGTATTGCTGTGTTTATGGCTCCCAGTTTCTGTCTTGATTGGTTGGTCTAACTACTTCATCCTGACATTCGCTGGCAGGAGTGGTTTTGTGTTTACCAGGCTAGTGCAGTATTCATTCTGGCCATTTTTACAAATGGGCATGTCAGGAGTAGATGTATTTCATAAACTTTAGGAACGCTAGTCCTCCTGTTCTAATGAACATGCTTGATCAGTTTCCCCTGATAATGATAATGTCATCTCCTGAGGCCCTAGTCACTTATTATGATGGCACTGTGTCAACTACCCTAAACCAGTAAGCCCCTTTCAGGTCACAAGCTGTGACCTTTTCTCATCCTGCCCCTTGGTTTACCATTGGCATATGAAAGCTGCAGCGTGTCAAGTAGAGCACCTCAGTAGGAAAACTGGTTTGATGATACATGCACTTGTTATAAAGATCATGTATTTTCCTTTAAAGAGGCCCAAAACAAGGCAAAGACTGACGCACAAATGCTGAGTGTGATGGTAATGGAGAGGTGGTGGCCAAGTCTAAAGGTCTGGGTGCGGTTGGACAGGAAGTCCTTGATCCAGTTGCTGATGGGCTGGGAAAGTCCTATGTTAGTGAGCTTAGTGACCAATCTGCCTGGGATGAATGTATTAAAGGCAGAGCTAAAGTCTATGAAAAGCATCCTCACACAAAGCAATTTTCTCCACTGTCAGTAAGCTGTTGCAGCCTGTTAATTGCTCCCCTTTAGTCCCATCATCAGCACAGTGCTATAAGTTTCAAGAGTTTGTTATGCTATGTGCTATGAGTTTTAAAGATTGAAAATATTTATTTAAAACTCCTACAGTCCTGGGGCTCCCAAGTGGCGCAACCGTCTAAGCATTGGCCCTATCATCGCGAGTTCGATCCCTGGTGATGCTACAGCCGTCCATAGCCGTGAGTCCAAGAGAGCACAACTGGCCTCGCTCTCTCTGGGTGGGTAGGATGGCCCCTCCTTCTCCCCCCATCACTTAAAGCGATGCTAGTCAGTGCAGGCATCTGTTAGCTGACGTAACAGATCTGGTGGTTGGCGCTTTCCTCCAAGCGCGTTCAGCTGTCCAATGACGTTGTGTGAGCGGCATTTCGAAAAGAAGTGGTGGCTGGTTTCACAGGTCTCAGAGGAAGCCTGTGCTGCCTTCACCCTCCTAGTGTTGATAGCATCGTGTGATTAGGGGAGTCCTAACTAGTGGGTGGAATTGGTAACGACTAAATTGGGGAGATAATTGGGTTAAACAAAAAAAACTCCTACAGTCCTCTAGTTCTCTTGATACTCTAGTTTTATTTTCTTATCCTGCCAACAGTTATTTTTCTACTTTTGCACCAGTAGGTGAAAATTTTGTTGCTAAGCTTATCAAGATATCGATATCTTCCCTCTCTTTCCCCTCTTATAATTAATGTTATCAATGCCTCTCTTGGGTCAGGTTTGGTTCCATCCAACTTAAAATTGGCTACAATCACCCTGGTTCTTCAGAAGCCAGGACTTGACCCTGAAGATTGTATGTACTAATGACCCATTTCAAACCTTCCCTTTCTTAGCACACTACTTCAGTGTGTAGTGGCAGCCCAGCTGAAAGATCATCTGACTTTCAACAACCTACTTCAGCAGTTACAGTCTGGTTTCAGAACCAATCACAACACTAAAACTGCACTGGTTAGGGTTACAAATGATTTTGTGATAGCAGCTGACTCTGGCTTGTTAAAGAAACTTGTTCTCTTGGACCTTACTTCTGAAATCTTGACAGTGTGTCATGATATTCTGCTGTACAGACTTGAAAACTTGACACTGTCCTTACATAGTTTTGATCACATCTGACACAGCTGTGACAGACAGCAATTTGTCTCTATTGGCAAGTGTAGGTCTGACCCATCTTGTCTCTCCCAAGGTGTTCCCCAGGGCTCAGTTTTTGGCCCTTTTTTCATTCTGTATATTTTTCTGCTTGGCATGATCATTCCAGTTCCATTGCTACACAGATACCCAAATCTATATATGCACTAATATATACCCTCAAACAGACTCCCACCTGCTGCTTTGATCAATTATTTATCTGATAGAAAGATCTTAAATTAGATAATAATAAATCTGAGGCCTTACTAGTTGCATTTCCAGCTACCTCACAGACATTCCACCCTGGCTATCCCAGAAGTTCTCTGTTGCCCAAGTAAGGAATCATTCTTGACTCTATATTGTCTTTTGATGAATTCATTACTAGAACAGCATGTTTTCATTATAAGAACATTGCCTGGATATGTTCCTCTCTCTCCCAGTCAGTAGCTGAGACCCTAATCCATGTTTTTATTATGTAGGCTTGACTACTGTGATATTGGTATTTGTGGGCTTTCTGCCTGCAGTCTAAAGAAGCTGCAGTATGTTCAGAACACAGCTGCTAGGGTTCTTACACATATGAAACCATGGGAACATATAAATGTATATGTATATATAAATATGAATGGCTAAAATGTAACTGAGTGAAAATTAGATTCCCTTACTAATATGCTTAAGTAGAAGTAGAATATTTCACTTAAGGTCATGTACTTGAGTAAATGTAACTACCCACCTTTGTTTTTTAAGTTTCTGCATGGCCTGGCACCTCCTTACCTTACTGCTCTTCTACAGACGTTCATTTTCATACTCTCTTCTTAATTATCTTAATTTTTATTTTTTATCTTTTTACCTTTATCTTAATCTTCTGTGTAGTGTCCTAGAAAGTGGCTTATAGATAAAATTCTATTATTATTATTATTATTATTATTATTATTATTATTATTATGCTACTTCTTACAAAGAAAAAATCTTACAAAATGCATCTTCACAATACATTTACCTACCCTGCAGTACAATAATATTGCTGTTGTTTTATTTCAATATTATTTATATGGATTACTGTCTGAAAAGGTTTCTCCATTTCTGCTTGTGAATTGTAGCTGGGATCGAGCACTACTGGGCTGCAGAACGATCACAGTGTTTGTGCCTATAGTTGTTTTTTCTGGAGTTCCTCCACAGGCATTTCTGGTCGCCCAGTATGGATCAGGATGGTCCTTTGTAGCACCCTGCCAGGTCTTTGCCCAAAGTAAAGATTTCAGACCATGGCCATTTGCCTAGCATCGCACTGAGTGATGGAGGGAGAGGGTCATTCTATCCACCCAGAGAGAGTGATGCCAGGTAAATTGTTTTCTTGAATTTCTGGTTTTATAAAAGCTGTAATCTACTGGAGGCTGTGTATTACAAGTAAAAGACAAACGTGAATGATACCAAAGCTAGTACATGGAAAGTTGGGCTAATTTTAGTTTTTCTGGTCACTCTTCATAGCTGGATTCTTAGTTACTGCAGTTTCTCATTTATTCAAAACTGAAAAGCTTTTACTCACTTCGGATCAGAGGTTCCTCCTCCACTGGAGGAGTTCTGACGCTCCATCTTAGAGTTTTTACTCTTCACTCTTCATATTCAGCAGGACTCCTGAACAGTTAATCCATAGAGTTATATGGAGAACACTAAAATATGATTATTGTTCTAATCATGTTAACTTAATGTCAATATATGCAAAAAATTATTAAAATGACGTTTATCAGTTAATCAGTTAATCTATGAATCTATTGTATTGATAAGAACCCTCATTTATAATTCAGCTGAGCAAAATGAACAGTGCAAAGGAATTGAAAAAAATAATTATAAAAACTTGCAAAATTAAGTTTAAAGAACCAGAACATGTGAAACTATCATATTTAAATGAATTACATGATAATTATAAAATCTTAAAAATCATTAACTGTAATTAACATAAAATAAGAACATAAAATGAAATACAAACTCCCCAGAGACTGTGATACTATTCAGCATTTTTCTATCATTGTACTAGATTAAACCCAAAACCAGAGCATAAATCCAAAGTAGGTGATATGAGGCTTTAAATTTACACTGTCAAAAAGCATCAATCTAAAATCTTTAAGAGAAAAAGAAACAAGTAAAGTGTCCTTTTTGACCTGAGCTAACATTACCAGCCAAGCCACATCACTAACAGCACCCTGTACCTTTTAGCTGCAAAACAGTGAGTTTGTGAAGAATTAATTAGTTGATAAATCCACTAATTCAATTGGAAATTTTATTCCATTAATTCTATACAAGTAGAGAGTAAAATGGTATTGAGTTTGATGTTTATGTGTGCTTTCTATATGCTATAGCTGAGCTGTAATTTCCTACCCAGCGCTGAAGACTCTCTGGTTGTGCAGTACGGAGCTTCTCATGTGCACAGATGAAGACTTGTATAACAGAACAAGATTGCTCTTTCAAAACTGGCTCAGTTTGTGTTTTTACTGCCCAAATGATTATTAAATTAAAAGGAAAGGTATTGTAACACAGTGGTAAACACTCCTGTCCCTTTTTTGGAATGTGTTGCAGGAATCAAATTTGGAATGAGTGTATATTTACAAAAAAAGTTTAGAAGGTAAACCATCAAATACAGGGATGGGGGAGTAGCTAAGTAGCGCGCTACTTTTTGTAGCTAACTACACATTTTTGTAGCTAATAGCTGTAACCGCTACAGTTTTATGAAATGTAGCTAGTAGCTGTAGCGCCTACAAATTTTCGTGTAGCTATAGCAAAAATTTTCCATATAGTTAACCATAGAACATGGTCGTTAACTGGGCTGGTGGCGACTGTGTAATCCTGAATGAGCCACGGACACTTTGAGCAAAGGATCACGCACTGATCACCCCTTACTAGCAGGATTAGCTCAGGGGTCGCAAACGAAATGTTAAGAAGAGCCATTTTGTCCTTTCAACAAAAAATGAAACCATCTTGGGAGCCACAACATTTAATATACGTTTTACCATCTTGGCTGTAAGTATATTTCAGTATGTGCTGATAGTTCAGGCTAAAAATATAAACGTAAATGCAGACTCACTTTGCTTTGCTTTAAGCTTCAGCTCATCTGTAGCTGCTTTTCTCGCATCTCAGGAAAATTTTCAGCGAGTTTATTGTAAAATGTCTCTCAATGTTTGACTTTTTACGAGGCTGAAGTCACTTCTCATTCTCCAGCTTCTCATTCGAATTGTCCCGTTCCACCTTAAATGGTGCCTGAGGTGCCAGAATGTACTGCTGCACCATTTAAGGTGGAACAGGAGAATTCGAACGAGAAGCTGGTGAATGAGAAGAGACTTCAGCTTCGCAAGTTGTTGCAGATTAAACGTATGAGGAAACCAGCTGAGTGATTATAAACACAAATAAGTCTGTTCATCTCCAAATTATCGATGTTCACCTTAAATCTCTCTCTTTGCCTTTTCGTTATCTGCACTGCTGTGTGTCCAGCAGTCTGCACATCAGTCTGCAGTATTAAAGAGTGAGTTCTACATTAACTCCAGCATTTAAGATCATTTGTTGTGAAAACTGTGTTAGAACTGTGTGTTATAATGATTTTACAGTAAAGGAGAATTGAGTTATTTTACCTAAAAATCTAGTTCTGCTGTGGAGCCGCAGCAGCTCTGCAGTGGAGAGATTATTCAGGCCTGATTCTCACCCCAAACAGAGCCAGAGTCACTGATGAGAATTTTGAGGCTAAAGTGTTTTGAGGCTAAAGTTTAACAAAAGACTCTGAATGTCATCTCTGTCTGTACCTTGCTGAAATGTTTCAATTGGAGCAGGTTTTTTTCAGCAGTTTACACAACATTGTTTTTATATGGTTATTTTTTCCAATTTTTATTAAGAAAAACCTGAATGATTGACTTTGCCTTTAGTCAAAATTTTTGTTGGATATCACGCCTTTGGTTGTGTCAGTTTGATTGTTGGTCACTTAAACTCACTTTTTGGTGATCTTTTTGTACATTTGCAGCTTTTCAGTTGTATGTTTCTTTCTGGCTCATGGTTAAATGCAGTGTCTTGTTTACACTGTCAGTTGGGCTTGTTTGGTGTGTCAGGTGGAGATTCACAAACATTCTGACAGTCGCGCTTTGAAAATAGCTAAAAAGTAGCCACTACTTTTTCTGGAAATGTAGCTAAATTGTAGCAGCTTCAAATTTTGAGAAAGTAGCTACAAGGTAGCTAACTACAAATTTTTCATGCGCTATACCAACCATAATCAAATATCACATGCTTTTTCTTTTTATTAGCATTTTTTGGACATGAGATTAGTAAAACAATTGATTACATTTTGCTTCCTTGGCAGGTTTAATTCAATTAAAGTGAACCCTGGTGCAATTGCTCTGTCAGCTTGGTTTATTTTTGCTCTATCCCTATACATTGTGTGTTATGTTGGAGCAACATTGTGAACTATTTAGGGGGCCCTGAGGACTTGTTTGAGGACCAAACACAGAATGAACCATCTCCTCTCTGCGGACCTGTATTGGTTAGGCCAGAGTACAGCTTTGTCACAAAATCCGCCCAATCAGCTGTGATTTTTCAATCACAAATTCAAGAGGCTTTATTGTCATTTCAGCTCTATACAAGTACACAGTGAAACGAAACAACATTCCTCCAGGACCAACACAAGAACACAAGTGTGAGACAATACAGTACAATAAATATGAAAAACAATAAATAGAAAACAGAACACAGGCAGTACACGGTACTAAGGGTATGTGGAGCTGTACAAAGAAGGATGGAACGTACTATGACATATTGCATAGCAGATTAGCAGAGAGCCTAGCATATATGAGCATAGCAGTCCCTTTTTCTCTTTTTCTCCCTACATCTTTTGTTTATGTATTTTCTTTTGTGAGTGTGAACTTCTGTCCTGATCAATAGAACTAAACTAGAGATAAAAATGCACTTTTAAAGCTACCAAACACCAGACACAGTGTAACACAGTGTAAGATGAAAATAGTAACTGATCTATCTAGAACCTATATATGAGAGACTTATTAAACAATTGAAAAAAACGTGCATATGCTGTACTGCATAATCTACTGTGTGTTTTGAAAATGTGATTAGCTGCTTGTATGTTTAAATGTATTAGCATGCTGAGTTGGTTAACTAAAAACAGCACTCTTAAACTTCCTTTCACTCACACTGACGTAGACTGTAAATAAAAAGTTGTAATATCAGCTTTCTTTTCTTTGTCACAAGTTACAGAAACAGAGCTCTGATCTCTCTAACACAAATCAGTGTGGCTGTTAGAGAAAGAGACAGAGAGAAGCACAATGACAGAGCTAGAATGGCACTTTCTACTTCAGCAAGTAGAGAGTGTGGCTCAGCAGGACCAACCAGGCTCTGGAAAATGGAGTTCAATACCAGACTCTGGTTCAAAACTACACACCTGGCAACGCTGATTACACATATGCAGGTGTCATGCAGACACAGAAGCACACATTTTTAATGAAGTAAATAAATATTTTAAAAAGCAAAATCCAGATATATATCGAGACTCAGTTATTTCAGGGGAACAATCCATCCTTCTCCAAAGACTGGGAACATGTCTCCCCCTGTCTCAGGTAGTGTTACCAGCCAAGTCATAACCTAACTTAGATCAACTTTTAGCTTGGAAAACAGTGAGTTTGTGAAGTTATTTATCTGATATCAAATGATAAATAAACATAAATTATGTTGAAAGTTTTATTCCATTCCAAATTTATATGTAGAGTGTAAACCTGACTTTAAGTTTACTGTTGCTCTCACAGCGACTCATTCCTTTAGCTGCCCTTTGTACTGAATCTGCTACGTGTGCCGTGGCCTTTAGACTAGAACTTCAATCCAAAAAGAACTAAAGAACAGCAGAATAAAGAACAGCTTTGTAACTGTAAACAATGATAAAAACATGTTCTTACTTTAATCTCCACACCAGTATAGCATATTTCTGTAAATGATAAACTTACTGTGCTAAATCCAAACTGCTGCTGTGTGTAAACGTCTCTTTCTCTCTAATGATAATGGGTTACGGTAACTTTAGGCATGTCTCAAAGTGCGTGAATTCTAAGTCAGCAGCTCGGTGACGTCAACAATATGCAGACCTATAGACACCATAGTGCAGGACTCGTGTGTTCAGTTCATATATATATATATATATATATATATATATATATATATATATATATATATATATATAAAACTCTACATTCCATATCTATTCATTGCAAAACGTTTTCTGAAAAAAAAACCTGCAAAAATTAACAAACTAAATGCTGAGATATGGTGGTGAAAAGGTGGGAGGAAGAGTGCATGTGAGAGGAGGAGGAGACAGAAGATGAAGCTCACTCTAAATTGCTGGAACTACTTTTTTGGCGGAAGAAAAAGTCAATATTCAACGTGTATTTCAAACAATGATTGAGGCTCATTTTCTTCACTGTTTATCTTAAATGTGTAAAAGTGTTGTATTAAAGTAGTAGAA